TCAGCGTGAAAATGTTCTTGAGTAAAAAAAATCAGCTCCTTCCAGTTGTCGCCCACCAACGTTGTCAGACTAGTGACTGAAAAGTAAGCATACTAGTATCCAAGTAAGAAAAAAGTACAAAATACATGTTTGCTGTCCTGCTGTGACCCCAAACTAACTACCGTAAGTCAGAATGATGAATATATTTTAACCTGAACCCTCAGAAACAGATATTTACTCAAATTGTTTTCCAAGCCATTAACATTACGTAGGTTTATGTGTCATTCCCTAGTAGACACAACAATTGAAAAGACTTTGTTCAATGTAGCAAGGCAGGTTATGACTCAGGAAGAAATCACTGAGAAGGTGAAAAAGGTGATTATTGCTTCAGACTATAATGTAATGTAATTTCAGTTGAGCACAAAGGCTGTTTCTGCATTTCATACTAAATTCACATGGGTTTTGTGACCTTGATTTAGGTCAAGGAAAGGGTTTTTAAAAGGGCCAACAGCACATGCAGCATCACAGCCAAGTAGGAAGTTTAAGAGGGTGCCTTCCAAAGATAAGGGGCAAGCTTTGTCCTTAAAGTGGGTCTATTGTTCAAATTCAACCTCTCTCTTCAAACACAAACATTTAAGCAAGCCGGATGCTTTTACAATTTTTTTTTTTTCTGTGTGCAAATATAATGATTAATATTTGTCTGGGCCAACTTGTTGGGAAAAAAATGTTTCCACTTTCACTGTCACTCAAATCAAACAAAGACTCTTTGTGACATTATGGTCACTTCTTCAAAACAGCTTTCTCGATTTGAGTCTTGTGATAAGTTGCGTATTAGAGCAAAATTTCTCTTGTGTCATGTTTAACTCACTGAGGCTTCATGCATCTCGTCTCGAAAGAAGACGAAACCCAAACAAAGGAACAGAGAGAATGAAGGATGAATCCCCCCACCGACCTTCTTCCCTGAACAGACTTCACACACCAACCATGGAGAGATGGAAAAACAAAAACACCCTGATGGAGCCTTGACTGCTGGATAGATAAAGAAGTTATGCATTCCAGTGTGAATAATGAACATAACTCTATGCACAAACATGCAGGGACATTCAGAACATCTCAAGTCATTTAAAAACAACAAAATCCCCCCCATCCCTACTAACATCGCAGAGGTCATTAAGAAGCAAAAATTCACAATATATGCAACAAGATAAATTCAATACTTACTACAGATTCTTCATATGACTCTGACTCTGTGTGAATAATAGCGTGTGGATTGCAATATGAGATGGAACAGTACTTTAATAAGTAGAGGATGTTTTTGGTGCACTAAATCAAACTGCCAGTATAAAGGAGCACTACAAATATCGCAAACAACACACAAAAAAAACACTCTTCTCTCACTGTTACACTCCCACAAATATGTGAGTCTACATGCATTGGCAAGCATGCACAGTTCTTCTGTGCATGTGTTGAGCTGAAATACACTAACCACTTTTCAGAGCTCAGACAAGAGATTAAAGGTATTTGAGTTACCCAAAAACCTTTTGTGCATTTCTGGGCGACACCCAAAGTCAGCTTCAACAACAAAGGCTGGATGTTACTTTTTATGTGGTGATTTAAAAAAAAAAGTGAAGGTGATATTTGAACACAGGTATCATTATGAAAAATGGTCCCATGCCAACTTGCTGAGGGGGCCGGGATGAGTTGGAACTGGAGGGCTGGTGTTGACTGAACAGCGCTGCTCGTTCTTCTCTTTATCTCACTGGCATTCTTCTGCCTCATTTCAATAGCCATTCTTCACTGAAGTGCCCCCTTCGCTGCCGTTCACACTTCTTGTGATTTGTATTCTAAGTAGCTCACAGATCTTTTGTATTCCTGGCCGATAACAATCTGAATCCTCATGCTGACAGTGGAGGCTGCAGATATCCTGCTGAAGCCCCCCCCAAAAAAGGTATTATTTATTATGAGGAGTGAAATCTCTTGTTGAAATCTTACAAAACGATAAGCTCCATGTACACATAGACTCCACTGATGACGAAAGGTACATTGCAAAAACAGATTGATTGCAGTGCACTCATTATAAGCTACAAGACAAGGCACGAATGTTGCACAGACTTTTTTGGGGGGAAATTGTGCTCTTTTTTGCTCTTTTTTAAATGTATGAAAATAATTAAAAATCAAAAATCACCTACATGTGCATCAAAGTTATAGTATTTTGATGAACCTGGGCTTTATGTTGAAATTCCACTTAAATGCATCCTCACTACAGCATTTCCCTAAACACTTCAAACATTTACTGAGATTGGATTAATGCAATCATATATCATATGAATAGGAATGTACAACTCTAAACTGATAGTAATATTTTCTTCTTTAAGAACAAATGAATTGTTGTTTCGTGGTAATTCTGTTAAGTTGCATGGAATTCTGTTGTAAATATGGGAAGCAATTTGCTCACAGAATGTGTGAACTAATACCATGCAAACAGATCCTTTCAAAGACACATAACAATTTAAAATCAGCCTTGGGAAATTCAAGTAAAACTTGTGCTTTTAAAAAACAAATGAACGATTCAGAAGAAATACCTCATCAAAAAAACAACTTCAAAAAGTGAGTCAGTGGAACTTCCCTTTATAGTGAAAGTGGGAATGTAAAATAAAATGAAGTACTGTATGTAATCTGGCACGTAGATGAACTCCAGGACTTCTGCTTGCAGACAGTTAAAAGAGCAACTGTCTCTGTCTGAATGACGTTGATAAGAGCATCATAACAATACAGTGGCCTTTCTCTGAGCTGCAGATTCCCCCTGTTCCTCTCCTCAGGAGTCCAACTGCAGGCTTAGTCTACAACCACTGTAATAAGCCCCAACACATGCGTATTACTTTCATTTAAATCCAGTGACTTGTTACTAATATGTCTTTGAATGTAGAATTATTGCTGATTATTAGATTATTAATTCATTAATGTTTTGTTATCCTATTAAAGCAATGATCACTGAGCTCCTAATTGTTTTTTGTCTGCACTTTGTCTCATAGCTGGGGTGTTTCAGCACTGCATTTTCAACAGATTACTTAAATCAAACTGCGTATTTCCTTAGTTTTCCGCTGATGTTTCACATGCTAACTATTCTAAAATAAACTGGAAAACAAATAGTTTCCTTCACATCAGGGGATTTTAGTCATACCAAAATCCATCATGAAGTGGCTACAGATTGAATCGCTTTTGTCAATATGATGGAGAGCTCTTTCACAATTTTCAGCTCAGTGTCAAAAACATTGTAATCATTTCAAACTGTTCTGTGTTGCGGATAATATTCTGAACATAATAAGTCAGTTTCAGTGCTGCTCAGGAAGTTAGTACAGGCACAACAAAAAGGGTATTCTTATTTCATCTTCATATAATAGTTTTTATGATTCAGCCATTAATCCAGTATTTTTCTAAACTTCCTCATTCTGACAAGCTCTCTGTTGTATAGATTGTCATTACAGTGCAGTACACCGGTGATGTTTTGAAACTAACCAGTAGAGAGTTTTGGGGGTTTTCAGGCTATGAGGTTTTTAAATGTACCGTTGGCGGTTGCTAAACCTCAGTCATACCTTAAATAACCTATCATATTGTATGAACTGAGAAATGTTTTTCAGTCCTGAGATCCACGACATGCGTGTTCTGATAAATATAGGAAACAAACGTATTCTCTCAAATCATGATTGTTAATGCAAAATATATGCATGCAACTGCACTTTAAAGAAGAGAAATAACAGTCTTTTTGTTCTGATGCTGATGTCCTGATGCTTATATGGTCATGCAGCCAAAATAATCTCTCTTTAACACAAGGAGGAGACATCAATGGACTCAATGATGCAGATTGACTCATTGAATTGATCGCTGTTCTCATATATCAAAGACATGAAGTAGTATTTGCATGCCACATGGAGGATATTCAGTTTCAGACAACCACCGGCTGCGTCTGAGAGGAGGGTGGGGAGTTTCGTGTGGCACTGCCCTGTCATCACTTGGTTAAGCTGCGAGGGAATAAATGTTCTACACACTGACGTTCGAAAGCCGTTTGATAGAAATCCCACATTATAGGGCGTGTGGTTCTTTTCAAATCTACTGGGGGTCATTTAGCACTTCAGGAGTACAGACATAACAGCACTTGAGAAGTGACAGGGTGTTTATAAAGGTGAGGACAGATTCAGACCTCAGCTGATGAAAACTGTCATCAGACGCAGTTATAAACTAATTTGTAGGGAGAAATATGAGGCTGGAAGAGGATCCTCAATGACCAATCTAAATGTCAGTCCTCCGCTAAATGCAGAATGAGGAGGGAAGTGCAAGTGTGAGGCTGCTCAGTGGGTAGTAAATTACCATAAAATCCTGAAATTTCTTACATTTTTCAATCACTTTCCTGGATGAACATCTGTCGGGACTTAACAATTACCAATGACCTTACTGAACTTTATACCAGCTAGGGAGTCTTCAGTGGACTTTAATTATTTCATGAATTCTATATCTTGCTGTAATCCAATAACAATCCTGTTTAAATGTTCTTTTTTAGGGGTTTTCATTGGTAACACTGTAATATTCATTAATGGAGTGATCTGAGATGGAGTGTTTTACTCCTCTGTAATACTCCTAATGGTTGTATATCAGGCAATTTTAAATTAAATTAAATTAAATAATTTAAGCCTAATGTAATCAAATTATTGTCACAGTGGCTAAATCATAATGACTGACTCAAAAATCCACTTTCAAGATTCAAGATGAACTCTATTGTAATTCGGATGACACAGAACTTTGTCCTCAGGTACTTCAAGGTTCAAAATGTTCTCTTTTTTTTTTCTTTTTTTTTTAAGGCAACGTTTTTTAACAGACGCTGGTTTGTGGACAAAACGTTTCACAGACCGACGCCCTCTCCACAGGCACACTTGGTTTTATAGTCAGCCCGTTTTGGAGACCAGGGCACCCTGCTACTCCTCCTCCCCTGGGGGAGGGGTTTAGGAGCACCGGCGTATTTAAAGCTGTTATCTCCGTGCCTCACTTACAAAGACCTCACTTACAAACACACACTGATCCTGACGGTTACATTACCAACGAGTGATAAACATGGAGTCGGAGGTGAGTTTGTTGTGTTTTTCTGTTTTTGTTAAAGGCTGTTTATTGGCAACTAATGGAGATCTATTTAATCATGTTGCACCCATTGCTATAATTCACAACACTAACGTATTGCCTAATTTTAAATAAATACATTCAATGTAAAAAAAAAAAAAATTTAACTTGGAATAGTACAACTTTTAGACAAACTCCAACTTTAAAATCAAGTTAGCATTAGAATGTACACCTTTTTTAAATAAAGTAATAATTTAAGTAAATAAATGACTTAGATCTCAACTGTTTTCTAACTTTTCAATTCTTTTTTCTTTCAGTTTGAAAGTATATCATTTGACTATTCTGAAAACAGCACTGACAACACCTCAGAGGGGTCTGGAGAATTTGGGCTGGACTACCAGGAGCCATGTGGCACAGCTCTCAGCATCGACTTCAACAAGATCTTCCTACCGACAGTTTACGGAATAATATTTATTCTGGGAATCATCGGCAATGGATTAGTCGTTGTTGTCATGGGCTACCAGAAAAAGGTCAAAACGATGACGGACAAGTACCGGCTCCATCTCTCCGTGGCTGACCTCCTGTTTGTCCTCACGCTGCCCTTCTGGGCTGTGGATGCTGCCAAGAGCTGGTACTTTGGAGGTTTCCTCTGTGTGTCTGTGCACATGATCTACACAGTCAACCTGTACAGCAGCGTGTTGATCTTGGCCTTCATCAGTCTAGACAGATACTTGGCAGTTGTCCGGGCCACCAACAGCCAAGCCACGAGGAAACTGCTTGCGAGCAGAGTGATCTATTTGGGTGTGTGGCTGCCTGCGGCTGTGCTGACTGTACCAGACCTGGTGTTTGCCAGGGTGCAAAGCACAGGGTCTTCAAACTACCATTTCAAAGACGAAAGCACGACTGAGGACTCCAGGACCATCTGCCAGCGCATCTACCCGCGAGATACCAGCCTCATATGGACAGTCGTTTTCCGCTTCCAGCACATCCTGGTGGGCTTCATACTGCCCGGTCTGGTCATCCTCATCTGCTACTGCATCATCATTGTCAAGCTGTCGCAAGGCACCAAGGGCCAGGTGCTGAAAAAGAAAGCGCTGAAGACTACGGTCATCCTCATCCTGTGTTTTTTCTGCTGCTGGCTGCCCTACTGTGTTGGCATCTTTTTGGACACCCTCATAATGCTGAATGTGATCCCCTCCTCTTGTGAACTGCAGCAAGCCGTGGAGAAGTGGATTTCCATCACTGAAGCGCTGGCATATTTTCACTGCTGCCTTAACCCCATCCTATATGCTTTCCTGGGAGTTAAGTTCAAGAAATCAGCCAGGAATGCACTGACAGTCACCAGCAGGTCAAGTCAGAAAGTGACTCTCATGACAAAAAAGCGAGGGCCAATTTCATCCGTTTCAACTGAGTCCGAGTCCTCAAGTGTTTTGTCAAGTTAACAAACAGTCAACCTCAGGGTCTGTGACTTGAAACTCTCAGGAGAGAAGACAAATTAAGCTTTAATTTCAAAGAACTTACTACATTTTGTACACATGTAAAAAAAAAAGAGTTATACATTTTGATTTGTTTGCCTTGTTTGCTGCAATTGTGTGTCTTGTAAGGGTTTTTTATTGCAATTTTCTATGCAAGTTTTATGTTCCTCAAAGCTCTGTCCTCAGGCAGCGCCTCATTTCCATTCATTCAGTTTTACAATCAAGACCCATTTTCCCTGCTTTCATCTTTACAATTTGTGTTGCTGTATCAAAGCTCAGGCATACAATGCCCTTTTCTACTTTCAGGGATGGTCTTGAAAACCTGTACATAGTTTGTAGCATTTGTGTGTTCGCACTTAAGTTGTGTGATTATCTGAGAGCTATTATTTATTGTCGTCATTCACACTGGAAGTTTTGTAAAAGAAAGAAACTGCATGCTGCTTTTTTACCTTTTGAAATTTGTTTTTGTATGTAAAAATAAAAAAATTCAATGCTTCTCATCGTGACTGTGTGGTGTGCATTTTGACCTAACACCAGCTCCTCCTCCCCTCAGGGGGTGGGGGATGAGGTGAGTGTGTGTTGGAGGGGAGGGGGGGCGGGGACACAAATGTCTCCACCTGATCTGCCCAAAAAGCAGAAGGAGGACTCAGCAGACTGGCCCTGTAATTGCAAGAACATCTGTGCACTTTTACATCTTAAGCAGCCATCACACAAAAGCTAAAATCTTTGGTTATAATTAGCACCCATATGGTTCCTTAACAAAGAAAAAAGCATGTTAAGTTCTCCTTTGACTTCTTTTCTTTCTTTTACGTTTGCAAGATATACTGCCTCCTTTGTGTTTGACTTGTAAACAAGTGTTATCCTCATTCACTTGGGTCAGCCGGTCAGTGGGTCAACTTAGCTATTTCCCATCTCACAAAACAAAAAATAATATTATTCAGAACATGGGTTATATATTCTAAAAATGCAAATAGGGAGACATAGTCTTTGTTGAGCAATACATCATTGGTAATAAATCTGCTGGCATTATATAATGACAAGACATGACATAAAAATGACAACTTTTCAGCACACACACTCACATCTATCTTTTTTCGTGGGCTCTTCTATCTGCAATACATACAAGAGATTTAATCTGGGTGCGCTGGTGACCGAGTGATGTTCAAGATGGAGATCTAAGGAAGCTGGGAACAATAGATGTCAAGGGGAATAAAGATGGCCGCTGTGCAATATAGTGCTGGAATCCATTCAACACTGCAATGGAGAAACATTTCCATTTCTTTACATGTAAAAAAAGGTGTGAAGTGCCCCCATCAAGGCACCAGGTTAATGGATATTTGAGGGCTCTAGTCTCTTGCAGTGCAACAGGATAAAACAAAAGGAGCTTTTTCAGTTGGAAATGTTCCTGGAAGATTCAGAATTAGCATAAGAGCTGTGCCGCTTCAGCCTGTGCCGGGATAGATCTGCGATTAACACTTCACTGTGTTCAGATGGATCTTCCTCATCTGCTTCTTTCACTGTCATCAGGAAACGTTGTTGTAGGACTAGAGGCTCTGGGATCCTGTCAACAACCATATACACAGAATTGGACTAGATGTGCACATTTTAGGGTCACACAGTAAACTGACATAGGGATAATGTTTACCTAAATCACATGTCAGATCTCCTAAATACACGTCTTAATCTAGAAAATAGTTCAAATGCATAAATAGAAATTAAGAGTGATCAAAAAAAAATTACAAACAGAACAGGTTGTGTAGCTGGGACCCCTGGAAGTATAAATATGCTTTTAATACCATGTGACAGTTCCTGAGAGTTCATACACCAAATACCTTTTTATGTCATTTGTTTCATGAATTTGACTGATCATTTGGCTCCCATGGATGTGTTTTATACTCTTTTATAAATACCTTATTGCCTCAACATTGTCATAAATGGAAAGCTTTTATCCAAATTGTGCAACTGTGCACTTGAGTGCTCAAAAGGTACATATGGCCCCCTTGGGAATTAACCTTAAGGTCCAAGAAGGGGCCCTTTCATTAATAATTAAAGCCTTTGTTCTCTTTGTGTTATGAGAAAATATTCACTGGTACACAACATACACCTCTATATCCATATACTGCCACTTTGGTAATATCAACATAGAGATTATAGCCAGACTGTTTATTTTCAGTAGGCTAGGCTTTTCTAATATGATAATAATCTCATGATGCTGTAATCATAAATTCTTGCAAAACATCAATATCGTCTTCCGGTGCAGTGTTGCAACCTTTCTGACATCTCATATATCAGGTAAAACAAACTCATGTGTGTATGTTGAAGTAGTGAAGAGATTCTTGTTTGCTTTATGGGTTAAAGGCCAAAGCTGTTGAAATGGACAGGAAATAGTTTCTACTGGCGAGTCATTACCAGTGTGCATGCAGGTTTGAAACCATTGTCCAGACTGTAAGGGGGCCTCATTAAGGTTTGCTGTTGAGATATATTAAACATATGAGTGACAGTATAAGTACCAGTAAGTGCAGAGATGAATTTAAGTGCAAACTGAGGATGAAAGGAACAAAAATACCACAGGTTCCTTTTTGGCACTGACCACTAATGGTTACATTGTTTTTGTTGGAAAGTGAGCAGTAGGAAGGCCGTTTCCTGCAGCAGGAGGAGCTCCTGTGGCCAACAGCCTGAGAAAAGCTTTGATGACCCCCCACTGTATTCAAACCAACATCACTCACTGTGCATGGCCATTCCTCTAAAGGTCACTGGATACCTGGATGCACTCAGTGCACTCGACCAAAGGCGTGTGAAAGTAATTTCATGGATTGTCACTTTTAGTGTTCATATGGATGTGTAAAAAAAAAAAGCCCACACATGGTGGTTAAGTTATAATACCAGTGTTATTGTCATGTGTCTGTGTGCATGTTATTGTAGGTGTGTAATGTTCAAATCCTTACTTCAAATAGTATATCTTGTATACACCCGATAACATTGTCATCTGTATAGCATAGAGTTTTAAGGTTTTTCAACATTAAGGGAGCATCAAATTTAAGATGCTTTACACCACAGACTCCAATTTGTACAAGGTGGTTGTGTACAAATAACCCTTCCTAATATTTTTGGCATGTATCTGTATTGCTGTTAGAGAAACCCAAATACCCACAAAATGCACCAAAAAAACGGTACCTCCCTATACTCTGCCATAGGTCTATATAGTAGGCTATCTATCATTATTGTCATGCATTGCAGGTTTAGACACATGTAGAGTCTAGACACATGTGATTTGCCCTTTCAGAAAGATGTGTCCATTCCTAATGCTGTTTAGAAGCCTAGCAGCCCAAACTGATTGCTAATTCGTAGCAATATGTATAACTAGAACAAGTTAACCTTGAATTAAAGTAATTACCCATTATATGCTTTTTTTTTTTTTTTTTGTCTAGACCATGTGCGGGACAAAACAAGTGAGACGGAACTCCATTTCAGCCGCTCGTTTCTAGCCGGAACCCAAAGCATCCGGTATTGTGTGCTCCGTGAAAACAGGTCCTTCCTTCCGGTGCACGTCCATGCAGTGAACAGCTGATGTGGTTCTTCTTCTTCTCTCTGTCAGACAGCCGAGAAACAGTTTCTGCTCATTCTCCCAGAATATAGCTCGACATGACTAAAGAGGAAGGGAAGGGGTAAGAGTGTGTCTGTGTGTGTGTGTGTGTGTGTCTCCCAGCAACAACACGACTTTTAACATGTGCTAGCAGTGGTAGCAGCTAGCCAGCTAGCATTGGCCCAGACAGGCAGCAGATTGCATCATCTGACAGTTCACAGTGAAACCATCGTGGAGGATTCACTCAGTGTGCAGAACGTGGTTTAAACTGCAGCAATGGAAAGATAAAGCAGAGTGTTAGACGGTGTGTTAGGGGGGGGGGGGGGGGTT